GTACTCAAGATGATGTTATATATTGTTTCATTTAAAAAGAAAATGAAATCTGATGTGAAAACATAAAAGTTTTAAGACAAACTGAATTTTGATATTGTTCTGGCTTAATTTTGTATGTGGAAAAAAAAACTATCATTTTGATTAAAATTATTTTGATGATAAATATTAGCAGCTCAAATGAATTGAAAGGCTTATATTGAGAAAAATTACAAATTGCATTTTAAAATAACTAAATGGCTATTAAAAAAATCATTTCAGTTAAATATAACCCCTAACATCTGCAAAATATTAAATATTCCAAATATTATATAAAATTTTAGACAAGACTTGATAGTTACTAATGTTCTGTGGGTATCACCATAAATAAACAATTCTCAGTGTAATTAAATTATGCAAATTTTTTTAAATGACTGTTTTATTTTGCAAACTAAAGTTAAAAAAAATAACCTTATATGGTTAAATATTAAATGAAATAAATGTTTATTGAATAAAAAATTTTCAGTAAAAAAAATTTTTTTTTTGCAAATTAGATATAAGTTGTTTGAGTCGTGCACATAAATAATTCGGTTCCAAACATTAATTTTTCTACAGGGACCTTAATTTTTCTGTGCATTACTTCACAGCTAACACTAAAAACGGAGGTAGGGGTCATTTTGACTTCTAATCACTTTTGTCAATTGATCACTTTTGTTTGGCTGAAAGAAATTGCTTAAAATTTATTTTCTTTTTCTAAATAGTAAACAAATATTTACATCGGTTTGCATATGTAGAATGGCAGGTGGGGATCATTTTGATGAAATACTCATTGAACTCTAAGTGACAATGACAAATAACCAATGAGAAAAATTCAGCGATAAGCATTTTTTGATTGCATTCATACCGTCTCCAAGAGGAATTAAAACCTGGTTAGTCACACTACATTGTTTTAACCAAATATACTATTTAAAATATTTCAATCATAAATTAAAATTGCACATTTTACATATTAATCATTCAGCTACTAGAATAATGAGATCACAGAAGCACAAAATGTGTTTAATTTATGAATTGAAAGATTGAATCATTCTGCCAGTAAGTACAATATAAATAAATATTTCATAAATTGTTTTATTATAGATTACATTAGTTAAAATGTAAAGCTATTTATTTGAAATCAATTTTTATATTAAATTAATGAGTTATTTAAGTAGTTGTAGTATGATCTAATCGATCACCCAGTAAGTAATCTATTTACAATATTTTAAAAATTCAATAAACAATCATGTAATATTATTAAATATAAATTATGAAATACATGTAAATTACATATATTTGCCAATGTATGGCAGTTAAAACTGTGATATCATGATTATTTCAGTCAAAATGACTTTTTCCCGCCATTCCAGTAGATAAGATTTCTCCACAGTTCTAGTGTTAAAACTTTCTGCTCCAGAGCTAAATATGATGCACTGAAAAATATGCAGAATTAGCCAGATTTTTTCTCAATCTTTGAAATTTATTTTCTCTAATCTTGTCAGAGTCTTACACTTAGCCTTGAAACTTGTAAATATACTACAAACGCTATTTATTGTCAGTTATGGAATTATTTGTTGTTACTTTTTAAAAATTTTAATCAATTTCTTTTTTCGTTAAAAAATTAAATAAATTTCATAGATAGCTATGCTAACGTACAATTATTTTTAAATATAGTTCTAACACATTGTACCAGGGGAAAAAAATCTCGCCCGACTTTTAAAGAAATACGATTTTTAAAGAAAATTTATTATATTTAATGTAAACAAAGATAAAACAAAAACTAAGCAACATATAACAACATGATAAAATAAAAAAGGCAACTATTTAAAAGAACAAATATTCGTATTGTCATACTTAAATCAGGAACTATGTCAACAAGTAAATAAATGATTACTTGTATTTTCTTTTCTCAGTTTTAATCTCAAATCATCAGAAAACTCATGATAAAACTAAAATATTTAAGTACTTCCAATTCATTAGTTGACTATCAATAACAAATTTCCTTTTTGCCATTGCATTAGAAGCAATTAACACTTTATTTTTTTAACAAAAATGCATGACATACAATACAATCATAACCATCCAATATACCAATGAAAAGTTTGGCAATCAAATAAAAATTAAGGAACATACAGAAATGGCAAATAAAATAACAAAAAAAGCACATAAATAATACAAAATCAGTATTTATAAACTAAAGAGACAATTTAATTTTAAAATAGGGAACTGAACATTGAAAATGAAGATATCAACCTAAACAATAAATGTAAAATTTAGTAGTGAACTAATAATTAGCAATACATTTAGAAACATACTTTTATTTAGGTTAACTGTTATAACTATGTATAATTCATTAAATATAACTACCCAACACAATAGAACCTCAATAATACCAAAAAAATGCAAGCTATCATATAGCAAACAATATAATAAAAATGAATTTGCAACTAGCTGGCAGAAAAAATTCAATTATCTCTCCTTTAAATTTTCAGCAAAATTTATACATTCACAAGTCAGAAAATTTCAAGATGTACAGAAGGTAGACATCTTTGATTACTAAAAAGATCAAAGGCTTAGACAAATATCTTTTCTAAAGAGGGCTTTTTAAAAATAAAACATCGTTTAAATTTTTATGAATTCATAGTTTTCTACATTTGTATCAGATGCAATCTTAAACATCGACCCAATTTGTTTGTGTCTCTAAAGTTATTGATTATCCAAAACATAAAAACTGTTTAATGCTAAGTTTAATAAATGACAAATGAATAAAAATAACTCAATAAAAACTACTTGAGCCATGATGGCTCAGGGGATAGAGCGTTTTGCCTTCGAATGAGGTGAAGTGGACTTGAATCCGACAGATGGATGGTCTATACGATTTCCGCATTCGGCTTGCACTGACGCACTCGAATTCCCCATTCAGCAATAGTCAAAAGGGTGGAGACGGGGATGAAAATTCTAAATAGGCTTTTAATCCCTTTTATTTAATTTTTACAGATAAACTAATGATTGATATTTATTCTATTAGGCAATATATTTCAATGAATATAAAATACAGGCCACCACACAATTATAATTTCAGAAATAAAGTGTGTGGTATTTTAGATTCTAGATTAATATTTCGGGATTAAATTATGACAGTACAACTTTGCCATAAAGTTTTTTATAAGTAGTTAAATAATATACAGTTGCCTGTTTCTTGAATTTTGATAAGTATCTTTTTTTTATGCATATAAAGCTAAAAGAATTTTTTGGGGTCAGCAAAATCAATTAAAACTATAGTAAATTTAGATATTAAAAAATCTAAAAACTGAGAAAAACATGCAGTTTTATATTATTTACTTATAACCACAAATAGCGGAATTCTGAAACTTATAAAACACTATTTCTCCTATTCCAAAAAGGTTACTCCTTTTTTTCCACCTTTTCTGAGAGATTGTGCTGTCCAATAATATTATATCATCAAAAGTTTATTAAGCACAAAAAAACAACAAAAAAATCAAGAAAAAAGATTAAAATTTAACCTATTATCCAAGATGATGAGAGTAGAGGCCTCTTAACAATTATAATGAATGATTAAATATGTATTTTTTATCCTTTAAAATAAACGTAAGAAGAAAAAACTAAAAAAATATTTGATCACTAACTACATCGCCTTTCAAAGCATGACATTTGTTGATGGTATTAACCAACCTTAAAATTTTGCTACCTTCAAACGCCAAAGGAATAGAAAAAAAATTACTTTAAATTTTAAATATGGCTCGCTGCAAATTAAGTTTGATACGTGAAAATATGCTTGTACATTGAGGTTCTATTGCAATTGAGGTTCTATTGTGCAAGAAAAAAAAAGAGAGTAAAAATATTGCAACTGAATCTAAAATAATTAAAGATAAAAAAAAAATTCACATGCTTAAAATTTCATAACAGTTTGATTTTTATATGTAAAATATATTTCAAGAATTGTTTTTCCTAAAACATGAATAAAAAACACAATAAAAACGTAACATTTTTTAAAAACAAATTTCACGCATAAGGCAAGCAAAATAAATCATGAATTTGAACAATACAATTACATTTCAAAATTTAAATTTTCAAAGGTAAAGATTTTTATTTTTTACCTATAAAATTTTCAGAAATGTAACATAATTTGATATATTTATTAGTTGATAGTGAATTTAATTATTTAAATGCAGTGCATAAATCTGACTATTCCAATAAAACAAAATACATTTTACCAAGTTATTTAAATACTAAGTCAAGACTAGAATTGCAAAATTTTAATACTTTTTTTAATTGAATTTTACATCGATCAAAGGTTTTGCATTCTCAGAACTAATACGACACTATAAAAATTTAAGTTTATATATTCAGAGATGTTTCTCTTTTAATACTGAACAACAAAAATCCATGCAGCTTATTCTATGAGAGTTTTTGAATTCAAATTATTGAAAATATTTTCTTAAAACTGATGAGTTGCCAACTTATCAAAATTAGAAATTTGGATAGCATTATAATAAAAAGAGTTTTCTTTTTATTTATTTAATTTCATCTTATATTTAAAAAAAAAAATGCTTTCCTAAATTATTGAAATATATGAAAAAAATTTTAATGATTAAAAATAATTGTTAAAATAATGTTCAATTTTTTGTGTACCTAATAATACTCAATTCATTTATGCAACAAAGCATTATGATTATAGAAACTTAAATATACAGGGTGATAAAGAAATTTAATTTGAAAATTTAAAATAAAACTTTATCTCACAAAAAAAGGTTTTATTGTAAAAGAAAAGTTATATTACAGTTGCTTGTATAAAAGTATTTAAATATTAAAGCATCAGTTTAAAAGTTCCATTCCTTGATAAAACTCAATAAATAAATTTGTGATAGTTAGAAAATTTTATTCTAATGATACACTTTTAGTAAAAGAAGAAAAAAAAATTTAATTAAAAAGACAGTAAAATTTCTTTTAATATATTTGAAAACAATTTCAATTTTTAAAATGTGTTTTTAAAAGAAATAAATTCATTAAATCATGAAAGAAAGTCATTAAAAAAAAAATTAAATTTATTAGAAATTCTTTCTATAAAAGCAATTACCTTCTGTTTTGCATTATGAAAATTAATCAAATAACGTCCTCCCTATGGTCAAATAATTTCTTCCCTGGACTATGACATTTGATGCAAGAGTAATTTGATCCAGCAATTTTTTCAATGATGAAAACATATTATCCTGCATTTATATTATACAAATTTTGGGACAGCTAAAGAAAAAGCCAAACCTGCAGAGGAAATTATTGCAAATGACAAGAAAGCTGCATAATGAAATAGCAAAATCTTAGAGGTAATAAACTTAAAAAATTATATGAAAAACAGGAGTTACCATCATAGTGAAAGTTGGCTAACATTTGAAATAAGCTAAGCATACATTTTTAAAGAAAATATCGATGATAAAAAATATTTTTATGAATTCTATATTGAAATATTCAAGTTATTTAAATACATGGTAATCATACCATATTAACATATCATAACAATATACTAAATTATAAGCAGCATACCATTAAAAAAAAATCACAGATCAAACTAACTTTATTGGGGAAAAGCCCATTCATTTTGAGCTATGGCACTAGATACACAAGCAGCTAGAGAAGCATGAGCAATATGTTTCTCATTAGATAAATTGAAAAGGCATGGCTTAGCAACTGGTTTTTCACTGGGAGCAGTGAACTGCAATGGTTTAGTCATTTGTTTGTCACTGGGAGCAGTAAACTGCATGGGTTTAGTCATTTGTTTGTCACTGGGAGGAGCATTAAAAATATATGGTTTACTGAGTTGTTGTTTGTCATTACCATTAGGCAGACCGAAATGACATGTAACCGGTTTGGTTATACCAGCAGTGGCATGAGGACCTTTCTCAGCCATCCGTATATGAAGATCTAACATTACTTTTCTAGTAAATTTCAGTCCACAATGGTCACAAACAAAAGGCTTTTCACCCGAGTGTGACCGCAAATGTTTTTGGAGGTTGCCTTTTTGGCTGAATTTTTCATCACAGAGCTGGCACACGAATGGCTTTTCACCGGTATGAATGCGAATGTGCTGCTGGAGGATGGTTTTCTGTCGAAACCTCTTCCCACAGTGCTCACACCCGTATGGCTTTTCGCCTGTATGCACTCTTATGTGCTGCAAAAGAATAGCTTTCTGACTAAACTTTTTGTCACAATACATGCATGGGAAAGGCTTTTCACCTGTATGCACCCGAATGTGCTGCACCAGGATCGCCTTCTGCGAGAACTTCTCGCCGCAGCGGTCACAGCCGTATGGCTTCTCTCCGGTATGTATCCGGACATGCTGGTGGAGTATCGCCATCTGGGTGAATTTTTTCCCACAGTACGGACACGTAAAAGGCTTTTCTCCAGTGTGTAGTCGAATATGCTGATCAAGAATCGTTTTCTGGTTGAAACGCTTTCCGCATTCATCACACACGTAAGGCTTTTCACCAGTATGGATTCTGATGTGCTGCTGGAGAATTGTTAACTGTGAGAATTTTTTCCCACAATACATGCAGGTGTATGGTTTTTCACCGGTATGGATGCGAATATGTTGTTGAAGAATAGCCTTTTGATTGAAACACTTATTACAATGTTCACAGACGAAAGGCTTTTCTCCCGTATGTATTCGAAGATGCTGCTGTAAATTGGCTGCCTGATTGAACTTTTTGTCACAATGCTGGCAGATATATGGGCGTTCTCCAGTATGAATACGCATATGCTGAGTAAGTGTACCTTGGGAGTTAAAAGTTTTCTTACATACTTTACAAGCAAAAGGCTTAGAATGAAACTGAGCATGTTGATGGAAGCTATTTTTGTCAGCAAAAGTTTTACCACACTGATCACATATCAATGCTTTTTCACCATTGATGGGCGGTGGGGGTGGAACAGATGGAGGTGCGGGCACATTCTGATTATCCAGATTAGGTTTTTGGTCTTGTTGCCCATCAAAAGTCCTCCCTGGAGGATACAAGCCAAGAGGAATGGACTGAAATGCCATCCCGGAAAAAAATAAATTCAACATTTAAATTTGTAAATGGTTACTTGACAGCAATAAATATTTTCTTGACACTAACTATTCCTTTTCAAGCCAGCCAAATACTAAAATTGATGACTGTACACTCATATGTAGATCTAGAGTGATTGTTAACTGGAAACGGCCGTTAATGCATATTTTACAGAATATTACAGTTTAGCATTCCAACATAAGAATACTAAGATCCTTTTGATCAAAAAATTCATTCACAACAAAATATTTTGAGTATTCTTAATAATAAAACAGCAGATCTTGATAAAAATAAAAATAAATGATCTAAAATGACCAAAAGAGGGAAAACAAAAGTAATAGCACAAAATAAAGATTCAAACTTAAAATAAATAAATTATTTAATCATATTTTAAAAATAACTGAAGTTTAACACAGCGAAATAAAAATTACGTTGTCATAAAAATTACCATAGTCAAAACTTTGAACTAATGGCTGAAATAAATTTTGAAGATAAGATACATAACAATTCATTTATGAATAAATCTTAATCACTCTTAATAACATAAATGTGTTCAGAAAAATGTATAAACTTTAATACTTTTCTGTCACTTAATGTAATCTAAAATACAGTTACTGTTCAGTTGTTTTCAGGAAACTCTTTTTGTTTACGAAATAACTTTCCAACTCCAATTTACGAGCATCCTAAAAAAGATATCAGAATGTATTTATAAAATAAATGCAATGCATTTTAATACAAAATCAATTAGCTATATTAATAAAGAAAAATATTGTAACCTATTAACTATTTATTAATCATGAACTCAATTCGAGATTAAACATGAAATTTCATTACTTGTGATGTGTGTGAATAGCTTTGCAGAAGACTTATAGGATACAGGTCAACTGAACAAAACAATAATCAACTTTTGTTTAATTGCTAAACATTAATTATTGTATGCATGAAATAGCAGACCCTAACTTCTTGGAATTATTTGTTATTCTCTTAGACAATGCAACTAAAGGAAGAAAAAAAATTATATAGTTGAACCTCGATTTTACATTCTCTAAACTAGCATTAAAGAAATTTTTTTTTTCAAAAAATGTCTCTTACGAGATGAACTATTAGAAAAATAGTGGAATCTTGACATATTTCTTGTGTTTGGAAACAATTTCAACAATATCCCCATCAATATTCAATATTGTTTCCAAATTGGCTTTTCGGTATGCATACGCAGATAAATTTTGTTAGTTTTTATGCTTTGAAACGCTTCATCAGTTGTGGGTGTATCCTCTGATATTTTTTTATAATCTTCATCGTTTTTATTACTATTATTGGGAGCAGACATTAAATCAAATATTGAAAAACTTGAAAAATAAAAAGAGGTATGTTGCTATCGAAAAATGCGTCATCAACAAAGGACGATTTTCAGCCTTGCAACTTTATTCAGAAGGGCTGATGTTCTCTTTAAATATCGCGAAGCTTGCTGCCTAAAAACCAGGTGTTTTGATTTAAAACATTTTTTGTTTTGTTTTTGGTTTATTTAAAACAAAGGGTAAAATGATACTTTATGCTCTAAATAAAAGTAATTAAGCTACTCTAAAGTATAATCATGAAAATTTTTTCAAATATCAATTAATATTAGCAATAAACAATTATAAAATATCCACTTTTCTTCCATAAGTATGCTTAGATAATTAATATAGAATAATTGAAGATTTTGAATATGCTTATACATTTGGATGAATTTCAACTTGAAAAAAGTTTGGTATTGTATGTAAAAAATGAGTTGTTTGCCAATATACATAAAAATGGCCTACTTTAGCATTATTTAATGTCATTAATTAACAGTATTCAATTTACAATATATGTATAAATTTACTTAATACAAGGGTGGATCAAATATAAACGAGACTTTTTTCAAAAGTAAATATTAAAATATGACTTACAAAAAAAAACACAAAAAAGTTATTCTTCTACATAATTTCCGCGAACTTCACTATTCCCCCGAGTTCCTTCAGTTTTTTAATCCTGACTGCATAGAGAGAAGTAGGCTGTGTAGTGAAACAATTGCACAAAAAAATCGTCTACCTCTTCATTGTATAAAAATCTCTCCCCTCAAAGCTTCTGTAAGTTGTCCTAACAAATTGTAGTCTGAAGGTGCTAAGTCAAGGTTATGTGGAAGATGCTCAACTATTTTTCAGTATAATGCCTTCAACTTTTGTGGTGTTACAGCAGCTTTATACGATTTCACATAGGAAGAGCTCTTTCCATATGGAGAAACCACGTCTCTTAGACCAAAAATGCTGGTTTGACTTCTTCACGGCCTTATTTAAATAAATTGTGCCATTTACAAACTTGAGTTCTCGACAGGGTATCAATGCCGAACTACGTCTATAATCTGCGTAAAATTTCAATAGGTTTGACATATTCTCTTGTTAAAAACGTAATTATTATGCGCTGCACAACTTCATTAGGAACATAACATTCACTCATGATTGAAGCTCCTAAAAAAAGAATGTACAAAGTACTAAACACTGCCAAACAATTATTTAGACTCTAGATAAAGTTTTATTGCTGCCATGACAACTAAAATTTAAATAATTTGCTGTTATTAAAAAAGACTCATTTATATTTGATCCAACTATGCAAAATAATCATGTTGTTTTTTTTTCAACAAAAATGTAAAGTAATTTATTTTTTCAATTAAATTTCTTTTGAAAATAATGTAATAATGAGAACCAAAAATGTTGACTGCATGCATACATATAATTATATAGTAGTGGAGCTACAGTTATGTTTTAATACTAATGATTTCATAATATTAAAAAAAAATAATAATATTTTTTTTTTAGATTTATTTTAACACAATGAAGCTTTAAATATAACAGGCGCTTATGAATAATCCAGCATTAAATAAAATAATATACATTGATAATATTTCAAATGAATTTTGAATATTTTACAATATTTTAGAGTTATGCTCATTTATATAAGCATGGTATTTTGAAAATATTAGAATCATTAATAAAAATAAACTGCATACGTACAATAAAAAAAAAAATTTACATTAATATCAGAAAAGAATTTTAAAAATAAACAGAATATTAACATATAAAATTCAGAAAAGCATCTCCTTCCCATTTATGCTTTTGATTGTAGAAAGGTCAATGTATTAAGAAAATTGAAATGGAGATATTTTGACCAGTACTCTTCTATAATTGCATATTTTATTAATTTTAAGAACTATTAGAATATGTAGTTCGTAGAGGTCTGTATTATTTTAAGAAATTTCAGAGTATAATGACTTAATTTTTGATTTGATCAAAAATATTTTATTTTAGAAATATATTTTTACAGAAAAGCTATAATGCATTAACTTTTAAAAATTACGTATTGCATATGCTTATTTAACGTAAGATTAAAAAATTTCATAACAGAATTTACTATTTTTTTTCATTTAGTTATATTTGAACTAAAAGTATTTATAAAATAAATAAAAGCTAAGAATTTAAAAAGATTTTCTCTTTCTAAAAAATAAAGAATAGCTTTTTCATCAAAAAAAAAAAAAAATATTTGGTTTAAACCACATTGGTGTAAACTATGTACCTAGTGAAGAATTTTTAATTTAAGTATCCAAAGTATTAACATAGACATCAAAGTGTAAATCTAGTGAAAAATTTTTAACCTAAGTATCTAAAGCATTCATTTGCAAAGGGTTAGATTTTTGACATGACAGAGGTAAAAACAGTATAAACCTACTTTTTTCTTTATATTATGTTGCAACAAACAATAACTTTGGAAAAAAAATTATGAGTAACAAATTATTTTGATATTATATACATAAATATTTACACAAATATTTACGTAATTGTTTTAATAAACTATCAAATATTAACTGTTTAAAGTTGTTATACATATATATAGATATATGTATAACAGATATATATAATACACACGAAAGTGGTTTGCAGAATATTTTTCACCATTAAAGAAAAACTTTTTGCATCACTCATTATAAACAAAACAGGGCCTAAATTCCCCTATTTTAGCCGTAGCAAATATTTTTCAGGACGACAGAAAATGCTTTAGTATTACTTATTAAAAAAATGGTCAAAATTCTCCAATCCTAAACTTGAAAAATTTGATAAGAGAGTTTCTTTCTCTGCTTTGTACAGCCATACTTTTCCTGCCATTTCACCATTGCATTTGACATTCAAGCATGCTGGTATATATTATAAACAATATATTTTTATAAAAAATAATATATTTTGGAAAAAATAAATGATTTTCTGGAAAATTTCGTCAAAATAAGTGGCAACGAAAGTGATTGAAAATAAATTCAAGAGTTAATTAATATTTTTAATTATAATTACTTGTAAGAACTTTTTAATTTCATCTAAATATACATATATGATCTGATATGAAATAAAACTAAATATCCAAATTTCGCACTTTGTGAAACATTAAAAATATATTTTAAAAAACTGTGTGCAATTTTTTGGTTATTGATTACAATTTTGATACAGTTTTATTTGTAATTTAGCATTTATATTTTTTACAATACACCTGGATGCCAGTATATAATCTTGAACTTTTTATTCAAAATTTGTAATTAAAGAACCGCTATTTTATATAATTTGATAATATTTATTTTATTGAAAGCTCATATCAAAGGAACCACGAAACAATTGTATTTAAAATAGCATTTATAGTACTCAGAGTCATTGTTTTGAAGAGGGTGTATGTAACTAGTCTTGCACATTTTTCGTTACATGGCCAAAATTAAAATTTATCATGTTTTTAGAAATAATCTTAACTAATTTTTTTGTCAAACAACTTTTTTAACTTTTTTTTTAAATTAAATGTTTAAAGATAAATTTTTCATTTAAATTTTAATTAGTTTAACTTAAGATCTGAGTTTTTAACAAAGAGGTTTTTGATACAAGAGGAAAAACTGATATGAGTCAAAAACTTTCCAACTCTGTATTCGGATATAAATATAAAAGCTTATACATGGCGAAAATTTTTTAACCTAAGTGTCCATATAAACATGAAAGCTTATATCTAGCAAAAAAATTTTTTACAGAAGTATTCAAAGTATTCACATGGAATAAAAACTAGCATTAATGTAAAATAAAATTCTCAGATATTATTTTTAAGAAAACTTAACTGCTTTGACGTTTTATTTAAAAGAAGGAAAATAAAACACTATTATATTTGAATCCCATAAATTTTCGATTGAATAATTCACATATAATTTTTCTAAATATTATATTATTTTTAGAATTTCAATTGAGAAAAGAAAATATAAACTTTTAAATGTTTGTCAAACTAAATCTTTA